TGGTTGTGTTTTTTTTTTTTTTTTGCTGATAAGACTTAAACAGAAGCGCAATAGCACCCACTCCTTCCCCATACCTGTATGAGCTTTGCAGTGCTGGAAGAGCAAAATAATTGTAATTAAATCAAGAAGACATAAAGATATGGAGGACCAAAATCTGCTTTCAGCTAGCCTTATCGATTTGCATTTAGTGATAGGCCAGAGGATAGAATAGATTTATCTTGGAAGGTAGCAGTGGAAACTTTATGATAGTTGTAGTGATAACATTAGTAATTTAGAGAAGCTCCCTGACTTAGAAGAGATGGGAGCTAGGATATAGTCACTCAGTTGGGCTGCAGCTTTTCGTCAGAGAAACTAAGGGACTGCAGAGGTTGCCTGCTGCTCTGCAGTAGGATTCATTGTTGTTAATTCTTCTCATTCATCATATACCTGTATTTTTTGAATCTGGTGATGGCTACAATAGTGCCTATCAAACCAGGCCCAGAGCAAGCACTCTGGGTTATAACAACATGGTAAACTCTTCCTGACTAGTCATGCTTGTGCCTGTGTATCATCAGCACAGGTGTCAGCGGCGGCCTTAGGGTGAATGTGGTTTGTGTGGGGTGTTGGGACCTACTATACCTTTTTCTTCCAAATGTTTCTCTTCCTCCAGGCCCGAGACATCATGCTGATTTGCAGTTCTGTCTTTCTTGCCTGGATCACCGTGGCCAGTCATGTTGCGGGACAAGTGCATGGGCAAGGTAAGGAGCTGTCTTCTCACCTCTTTTAAAAGGGGCAGTGTTTTAGGGAATGGGTATTACCTGGGCTGAGCCCATGTATGTGGTTGTACTCAGCTTGGCAGCACTTCTGTGTTTGACGGGCAGGCGGTAACTTTGGAAATTGGCCTCCAGACCATGCCAAGGAATATAGGCACTGGTAGTGGAAACTTTTTGATGTGGGTCACAGCTGGGAGCACAGGAAAAGCCTGGTTTCCACAGGTGTTAGTGGAATGAAAATCAGGCCCTTAAGAGTGCCCATTTTGTGATACAGGTTAGAGGATTATCCCCTCCCTCTCTTCCATTGCAAATCCAGGGCCTGTCCAAACATTAAGCGAACTAGGTGGTCGCCCAGGGCGCCAAAATTTGGGAGGCACCAAATTTATGCGCAGAACAAAATAACAGGAGCATCATTCTCAATAACAGCCCCAGCCGGCTATGGCTCCATCTTAGACCTTTGCTTCTGTAAGGGGAGAAAGACCTGTGAAAAGACCTCCGAGCAGCGATCGCTAGAATTGCAACTCCTAGCTTTTCACCTCTCCAGGTTAATGAAAAGTGTGAAACAATCCATTACAATTTTTTGTTTTTATTGTCGTATTGTTCATTTCGAATATCAAATAAGTACACGTAAAAGGTCATTCTAGACTTCTTATTTTCCTCTATATTGGAGGTAGTGGAGGTGCCGAGGTACACCGTTTGCCTAGGGCAGCAATTTCCTTTGGACCGGCCCTGTGCATATCCCAGTCCTTATGAGAGCAGAGCCCACATAAGCAGCAGCCTTCTCGCACCTAGGTAGATCTGCACTGAAGCTTGAAAGGGGGGATGAGAGAGTGCCATAACTATTACTAAATACTGCTGTCTGGAAGCCCTGCTGGGACGCACTGCAGCATCTGGACAAAAGCTCTCCCAGAGGGTTTCTTGGGCAATGCACCCTCTGTGCTGCAGGCAAGATTTCACCCTGAGCAGAAAACATCTCTGGCAACCTCCCATGTGCTCCGCAGTGCTCCAACATAACAAGTCTTTCATATTATTTGCAAATTGCCAGGTGCTGCTGATGGAGGAGGCATCCCCGTTTCGAGAATCAGCACCTGTGTTTTAGTCTGGAGCATGTCTTTGCTAGGTTTTTGATTAACCTGGGATAAGGGTTATGCACCTGGGTGTGCACTGAGGTGACTCTTTCTGGAGAGACTGCAACAATGTAGTGTGTTTACTAGCTGGGCAGATTTAGTCCAAGACAGGTCATTAGCCCGGCTCTGATTAATACATGATGAATCTGAATGCCCATTCCAGAGAGGTATCCAGGTTGTAGACATGTTGGTCTAGTGGAAAAAGCGTTCAGGACTCATTGTAGAGGTGGTATCTTTTTTGAGACTAGTTAGATTTTTGCACAAAAAAAAAAAAATCCCAGAGAGAGCATCCTGAAATGGAGGAAATATGTTTTCCACACAAAAAAAGATTAGTCTGTGGAACTCATTACCACAAGAAGTAACTGAGGGCCTGACTTTTATCTCGATGCAAGAAACAGGGCCGATGGCCTTCCCATCATGCCTGTTTATTTCTTTAAATGGCATCATGATTAGGCCTGTTTTAATCATAATCATCTGACATTTCCCATGCTGGTATTTGCACAGACAGCGAGGCTGATGGCTACATCTCTGTGCCCCGTGCAAAGGTGATAATTTGTTAAAACGGCTTTGTTTGGCACCCAGGCATCTTTCAGCAAGCAGTGCATTGTAAACTATAATTGAAGCCAACCTGTGTTTCGGATGCCTGGAAGACCTGAGGCAAGTGTAAGCCCTGAAGGCCTTTCTCAGTTCAGCTGGGAGCTCCTTGGTTTGAAACAAGGCACAGGCACGGCTGAAATGGCAGTCTGATTGCTGTTCACATATTGGGGAAGACAGCACTGTCCCAAGCCCCTGAATGACGGTGGTTATACCGGCTTTCTTAAAACAAGCAGCAGCCAGACTGGTGACAAGGTCTGAGTTACCTTGGCAGGAGGCAAAGTTTTTCCTGGTTGTTACAAAACCCTGTTATTATTTCGGTGCCAGGTAATTCGCTCTTTAGACAAACACCCCTAACAGGGTGCCTGATGGCTGCTGCTCTGACCGGTTTCCTGAAACAAATGGCAGCATTAAACATGTCAAGCCAGCTTGCCCGGTGGCATTTCATGTCTCAGTGCAGAGGAAGGAGGAGCACTGGGGTCTCTGGTTCCTAAAGAGCGTCCAGCAGGTTGCTTACATATACACTCAATACAGGTGTCCACGCATGGACTTGTGACGGTTTGCACCCTGGAGTTGCACCATCTTTGCTATGCAAAAGCAATATCCCGGCCTTCTAAGGTAGGGGACTCAGAGGCCAATGGTCTTCATTACCGTAGGTACCAGATAGATCCAGGCTACACAATGATGTCTTCCTCTGCTTCCTGTTAACAAGAGTCGTCAGCAGTCTCTCTTATTTTCACTTCTATTGATTTTTCTTTTAACGGTGTGAGCAGTCACAGCAAGGCTACATACAAAGCTTAGGGGAACTGCTCTGAACAGGGTGAGGTTAATGATGGACAGTAGAGCTACTTCCTTAAGAGCCTGCTTTTTTCATAGATTCATAGAAGTGGGGTCAGAAGGGACCTTGTAGATCATCAGGTCCGACCTCCTGCCCTGGCCAGGAGAGAAAAACCGGGCTCAAATGACCCCAGCTAAGTAGATGTCAAACCTCCTCTTAAAGACCCCCTTTTCTGTGATGACCTTCCTAGGTGGTGGGAGAAGGAAGGTGAAGGCAAATGAGAGTGATCCATGGGTTTTGCGGGAGTTTTCAGGGGCCTTTTTGGGCACAGAAGTGACAAAAAACCTTACTCCCTTCCTCTACTTACATTGCTGCTACTGACATGGCAGAGGGAACCCATCCCCAGGAGAAAATTCAATTCTCTTTTTCCCTGTTCAAGGAGTTTCACAAATTTTCTCACTGGTGATTGATGAAGGAGTAGGGAGAAAATCAAGGTGAGCTTCATACCTGAGGCTGGGTTTGCAAAACTGGCGGCTGCCCAAATCGTCCCATTGATTGGTTGTATGCTTTGTTGCATGATCAGAGGTAACGATGGTGCTAATTTGATGAATTGCCTAATCTTCTTCAAACACTTTTGATACTTAAAAAGAAAATTCTCTGTGTGCTTTGGGGTGGACCCGAGCACCTCCAAAATTGTTGGAGGGAATCCCTGAAACAGCTCATGATTATGGTATCACTTGGGATGTGGAGGAACATCTTTTATGGCAGTCTCCATTCATACTTATTTTGCTGGATGCATGAAGCAGTAGGAACATAAGGAGGCTGAAATGCAAAGTAGCGAGCGGGTTATATTGCAGCTGTTCTCGCTGAGTGCGAGAGATAAATCCAACGGTGGGAAAGAGCTGCCAAGCCTCTGGGATCTTGCTCCTGGACGAGATCAAAGCATATCCTGTTTGTCTCAGTGTCATATCATTTGTAGGGCTGCCTTGGTCAGATATCCTGAATGCTCCTTTAGAAAGGAGCTTTGGTAATTAGTGGATTGATTACATGTGGCATTCAGCGTCTAGTATCAAAACCCAGGTCTCTGCAACTCCAGAACGTGCGGCATGCAGGGAAATGACACCGAGGTCTGTTACAAAGTCACCTTCTGGGAAGACAAGTAGCAATGGGATTAGACCAGTAGTTTTGAGTAGTTTCATATGCACCTGCCATCCTTGAACCTGTCCTCAGATCCCCTATCCACGCGCCCGATACAGAGAAAGCCTCTGTGACGTGCCAGCTCGTAACCGTCCCCTTTGTAACCATTTGCACCTTCCCCTTGTATGAAGGAGACTCGTGCTGGTTGTCAGGTCCATAATCTTCCTTATAAATGCCTAGTGCTCGGGTTTCTTAGACAACGCTTCCGGATTTGAAAGGGAGCTATATTCATCCTGGGAAACCTCCAGACCAGAGCCAGCCAAGGGCACCCAGTGAGAGTCTGGGTGTAACTGCAAGTCATTTAGAGCTGAGGTTACACTAGCAAATAGTGCACATGCAACATAGGGTAGATGAACAGTGGGGCTTTCATGGCATGGGATCTCATTTGCATCTGGAATAGAATAGAGCTGAAGAGACCCTTGTTGCTGTCATATTTGTCTGCAGACATTTTTGCCTTTTAACTTCTGGGGTCCTAGAGTAACCGCTGAAAAGCTGGCCAGCACGTGTCCAGCAAGAGACAGCGCTGTGTTTCATCAGGCTCTGAATCCCACCATTGTTCCACCGCCTTTAACCGTTTCTTCTCACACTTGACTCCGGGACCAGTCCCACCCAGCACTCCCCTCCTGCACTTTTTCTCTCTTCCCCTTTGTTTGTGCCTTGGGCGACATGTGAATCTGAGCCTTGTTCCCCCAAAATAGTTGTCTGTAGGCGGAGAAGTTTGCAGGAAGTCTCTGAAATGAAAGGGTAAGGCACAGATGTTGGGTTTCGGCAACGTGGCAAAAAGACATTTGGATGGGAGTCATTTTAGGTCGGGGCTGTGTTCTCGGGGCATGAGACATGCATGCGGAAAATGGAGGAGCCTGCGGGTCAACGTGAAGGAAGGGAGGGGGAAAGGCACTCCTAGACAGCTTTCTAAGGGAGAGTCAAACCTGTGCTGTGGTCACAGCTCAGGAATATTATTAATTGTTGCCCACATTTCAGTGAGCTTCTCTAATCTGAACGTGCAAAATGAGCAAAGGCCTATGCTTGTATTTGCAAAATGGGTCGTTGTCCGTACAACTACGATTCACACACAATTCAGTGCCTTTTCGTCTTCAATTACAGCATTTCTGTGTGCAAATCCTGCACATAATTAAATGCATTTCTAATTTGCACATGGTCTGTGCAGCTCTGGTTATCATGTACACGAATAACTATCATCAGTCGTCGGCGTACATATCAACAGTAACTAGTCGGCATTTGCACCAATGCCAAGAGCAAATGCAAAATAGGTGGGCGGTGGTGTGCACATGTTTGCACACGTTGCATTTTGGAGATGCTGTGGTGGAAACCTGCTGAACAAGTTGCATTTTATGTGATGTGTTAAAGTTGAGGGCTCTAAATTCCTTTGGTTTCCATTCTACCTCCTATCACACGGAAATGTTTAAGTGGGCCACATTTGTATGTTGTTGTGTACATTTGAGCTAAGAGTCATTTAAGAGCCACATGTCTTTAGAGATCTGATTGCAAGACAGGAAACCTTTGTGAAACGGAGAGTAGGGGAGTGGGAGTGTGCCCATGCCCAGCACACCATAAATCCATCTCTTTTCTACCAATCCGCTGTTCTTTCTCTTGATTTTCAGTTTGCTGACTCTCTGCAGCAGCAGAAGGTTTTGAGGCTGGTACATGCTGGTGCCTGTGAGTTATGGTCCTGTCAGGGGCTATTACTTACACTTTATCAGGCTTTGCATTTCTAACTCCAGCTGGCCTCGGAGCTGCCTATGAAATTCACCTTCTGCAGAGTTATGGAGCCCACGATCTCAGTGCACCTTGGCAGCTCCCAAATGAGTTATAGTTGATACTTTTCAATGAGCGGAAGTCCATTGCTTTGATTCATTCCTAATGCCAGAGCGGCGGGCATGGGGATACCCTGGGGCTGCAGCACACATTAGCACAAAAGCCTGGGGATGGGGAATTGTTGCCTTCTGAATCTAGGGCATGCAAAGATGGCCCCACAGGCAGCATTGCTCTACCCTTCCCAGTTGGGCTGCTTCTGCTGTTTGCAAAGATGCATGGAGTCACAAGAGAGTGAAAAACCCTCCCCTGCTTAAGACTAACTCCTGAAAGTGCTGCCCAGCTGGAGCCACAAGAGACAAGTAGATTCCCCAGGAGACGAGGGGAAGAAAAAATTGGCTAAAAGGACCTTAGTTCCCAGAATCAAAGGAAACCACGCACAATAAACTAAGTGGCAAAGGCTGTCTGACTGTCTAGCTGTCAGAGGCGACTCTGGACATGAGATAACATATGTTCCTCTTTCTCCTCCAGGGTCAAGCCGGTTAAAGCTGACAGTCCTGTCTGAAGATAGGTTACAGATGAAATGGAAAGAGACTGAAGGGAACATCATTGGGTACAAGGTTCGAGTGAAGCCCATGGCAGGTATGTACTTACAGTACCTGGATTGGATTTGGCAGAGATTAATGCTAGCAGGAAGTTTTTGGCTGGACACATCATGGGGCATCGTGAGTTTCCCCTTCACTTTGCTCTTTGTTAGAATTGCCGCCCTGCGGTACTGAGTGGGAGGCTGCCACAATTTATTTTAGGGATAACCTCAATAATTTTCTTCACCCTCCCTGGAGAACAGAATTGATGCTGGTTGGGAATTGTCTGTGTTTTTGGGTAAAACAAAATAAGAAAGCTGATTCATCAAAATTGAAATGCTGTGAAGCACACCTCCCTGAATCTGAACTTGGGTTAGCCTCAGCTGGTGTGAGTGTCCACGCAAAGCCACGATCTAGTCAAACCTAAATGGCACAATGCAAAGTTAAACCCAGCCCCATTTTAAAGCACCTCCAAACCTGGGTAGGAGGCTTCTCTGTGTTGTTGGCAGTGCCAGGGATGGGAAGTGGGATTAAAAAGCAGCCTAGGAGCTTGGCTGAATTCTGCAGGGACTACATACCCCTTGGCTGCACCTATCCCGGGAATGACAGCATCTCAAAACCAGACTACAGAAGTAGATACAAAAGTCTTCATCTTTACCAAGATTGCCTCTCCGGTAATACATATACGCTGTAAACAGTTCAGCTGCTGCTAGGGTTTTACTTTGGTTAATCAAATGTAGAAAAATGCAGACATGTCATTTCAGAAAGTTAAGCCAGTAACATGCTTGTGAAATATAGATGGATGAGATCCAAGATTTCGAGAGGCGATGCGCCACTTTTAGTGGGGGAGAATAATTCCTCGTGATTAAATGCTCATACAAATCAATCAAATGTTTCGAGATTCTTTTACCGCTGTTTGCTTTAGATGTAGCAACCACAGGTATTCCTGTAACAGACCCCTAATGAGGTGCTGAAAAGGGGATTATAGGTATTGGAAGGGAGTGGGTGAGGGGGCAAGATACTAAAGGAATTGCAGCTGAGTCTACTTTGAGGAGCAATGTCAGAAAGTGCAGCGCAGTCGTGAGAGAGTGAGCATCTTGTGAGGAGCAGAGTGGGAGAGTCCGTCAGTAAGGGAAAGCAGGAAAAGTGACAGGTAATAGGAAATGATGGAGCAATCAAACTGAGTAAGAAGGTAACTGCTAATTACCAGGCCAGTTCCCTGGGCCTCACCCTGCATGGCGCTGCATGCCCTCATCTCCCAGGGTCTCTCTGCCTGAACATTTTTGCAAAGCAGTGCAATAGGACAAGCAGTGAGGCAGGACAGTGGTCCCTGAATGAGAGTGGGACATTTCCCTTTTCTTCCTCAGACACCCCCAAAGTTGCAGCTCAGGCTGTTCCTGCCATTAGTGGCACATTTCCTCATGTAGGTAGGGGCTGAGCAATCTGGAAAGTGCTTTGTTTTTGCCTGGTGCCTTCTGCTCCTGACCTACAGCAGGCTGGAAAGCAAAGCAGATGGAGGAAGTTTAGTTTACTCCTACCTGGCTTTCAAATAGGGCTGTCCCTGTCCCAGGCTCTGGCATGGAAGTCCAGGGAAGCCAGGATGGCATGTGTGCCTGCCCATTGGTGGATAAGCCTGTGCAATCCTGCTTTTAGCTCTGTGTGCCCTGTTGGCTGAGCCAGAGCTGAGCCCCTCTCACCCCTCTTCCCCGGCTCCTGCCAGGCCTGCGTGATGGGAGACCCTTCTGGGACCCTGCAGACTATGCATGTGCCATTAGGCAGCAATCACAAATCATTGATGAAACCCTGCTCCAGGGCTGGGGAGGGAGAATGAGGAAAGCTGCAGGCACCGTCCTCCTGCCAAAAAATAGCTGGCATCTCCCTGTCATGCTCCCGTCAGAAAACACCTGACCACTCTACCCCTAAATTACTTCAGGTCATGTCCGTACAGCTCTGCAGGCATCTGCTTTTCTTGTTACTGAATCCCATCCCTCTGCCTCATTTGCAAATGTACACCATTTCTGTGGTTGCTCGTTGGTCTGGCTGTCTCTGCTCCACAGCTTCTTGGCATGTTGGTACAGGAAAGGCAGGAGGCCAGCGGCATGACAGTGAGGCCAGATGCCTACATGCCATCGCTCTGCATCGCCGGCTGAAAGGCCATTCATAAGTAGTAGCTAGTGGAGGCAGCGTTTCTCGAGTGAGCGCTTCCTGGGGATATAATGCTGCTGGGATGGAGTCCTATGGCATCACAAACTGCATTGCTTGAGGTCGGTAGTCCCTGCAGCAAGAAGAAGAAGGACTGGGCCTGGGAAGTCTCCCAGCAGGGAGATGCCATTTCAGCCTGCAAGCTCCTGACTGGCAGGCAGTGGCCACCTTGGGCTTTTGCCTCCTATGCAGCTGCTCAGAGCAGCCACATGCCACCACCAAGCTGCTGACGGCTCCATTAGCAATAACAGCACTGGGAGCTGCTGACAGTGCCCATAACACAGCCGCCACCATGGCCTGATCTCCCCTTTCTAGTCTGCTTCCAGCCTGCTCCCATGACAGCAGCACCCTGGGCTAGCGAAGGAGTGGGCCAGCAGGATTTTCCCTCCAGTGTGTCCATGTGCATTTGAAATTAGGCAAAGCCATTTCCTCCAATGGCATCCTTACTGCAACAACAGGGAGGCATGTAGAGGGATCGTAGACTCCCCTATGTAGGAGATGGATGCATGGCCATGTTTTTAATGGGCTTTCTTGAAATGCACATTGGCACTGCAGAGTGACTGAGTCAGCTCCAGGGTTTTCTGAGAGGAAGAGGAGGAAGATGTGCTGGGGGACATACCCACTGTGGTCTTGGGAGACCTACGTCCTAGCTGCTCTGCCACAGGCTCCCTCTATGACCTTGGGCAAGCCACATTGGGGGTGGATTTCATAACCAGTTTCCTATACTGAAGAGCTTCCTATACTGAGGACCCAACCTTTAGCTGCCGAGGACCCGATTTCCAGAAGGGCTGGCCCCCAGGAGCGCCTTGTGAAGCTGATGAGAAGTCCAGGGGCTGGACCGGAAACACTTTGCTTGTCCCCAGATGAAAAGATCTAACATGCCTGACAATTTTCCTGACCCACCAGATCCAAAACCCAAACTCATTCGATCAAAATGTCAGCTTCTTTTTCGTTCCAGTCATTTCCCCACCTCCCTTAAATTTAAAAGCTAGGAAGTCGGTCCGAGCCACCGTGTCTCTCTGCTCCATCTCTCCATCCCAGGTGACTCCGAGCAGGAAGTCATGCTGAAAACCAAAACGCCGAAAGCCACGGTTGGGGGGTTGAGCCCCACAAAAGAATATACTCTGCACATCTATGTGCTCAACAGCTCACAGGAAGCCCTGTTTGCCAAGAGGAAATTTGTGAGTAAGTGGCACATGCGACACTTGCTTTCTCCGCTGGCCTCCCATAAGTGGGTGTCCTCTCGGTCAATCCCTTGGGTGCTTTTAGATGCAGGCTGCAGATGGGCCTCAGTGGGTGTGATTTTTGTGCAATTGTGTCTTAAGGGGTGGGGGGCAAGACGGTGTTGGTCGGGGGCAGGGAGATGGAGGGGAGAGAGCCTGGAAATCAGCTAGTGTCTGCAGTCCATGGAGCCAGTCGGGCTGCTACAAGGTTTATGGTCCCATTTGCAATGTCACCATCTCCTTCCACTGCGGTTTTTGCAGTTGAAGAGCTGAAAAACCTCTCTCAGGCTCGAAATAACCGGAGGAACACAGCAACTGGCCCAGAAAAGAGCCTCGCCTCACTTGGAAACACAGCAACTGAGTCGGAGCCAGAGACATCTTCCCCGGCCCAGAGTGAATCCTTCACGCAGACAGGTGGGTGCAAGGTGATGCACTTAGCCAATATGCAACAGTTGAGGGGAGGGGTTGGGTGTCATTTGCACACATGACATCACTGGGGATAATGGCCTTCTCTCTGTGATCATTTGTAATGCAGCAAAGGACAGGCCAGAAAAGAAGAGACAGAAGTCCACTGTATCTAAGAGCTCAAGTGAGAAACCCCAGAGCAAGCCAAGCACTGGGTTAGGCATGACAGAAGCAACCCCGACGACCATGAAAACACCGCAGCACGGCCAGACAAAATCTGAGCGAGAAGATCTCAGCAAAGAAAAACCCACAAAGGAAACGTTAAGAAGAGGCGAGTTTCTTACACACCTCTCTGACTTTTAAAATACAGATCCTCCTGCCAAAAGAGGAGTGATTTCTTCCTGACAGTTCCAGGAAAGGGACCATTCCTTATCTCTGGTTTATTATCTGTCTCTAAGGCATCTCATTCTTGTCTGCCCACTAGACCCAGCTCAGAGACAAATCATCCAGCCTGCACCCATCCACCAATACTGTCCAGAATGAAGGCATCATTTGGCTTATCTTTATCTATAGGGGCGTTATTTGGAAGATTGCCATGTATTGCTGGAAATGTTTGCAACACTGCAGACTGGCAGAAACTATAGTCCGAATGTGGATACTTGGCCAGAAATTTCTTCCAAAAAGGGCATTTTCTCATTACTCACTATTCTCCATTCATTTTTTCTCTAATCAAAAAGCATCAGTAAACAGTTGAAGTAGAAAAAAAATATACCAGGCACCTGAGGCGAAGGATCATGTGTGCTGAGCAATGGAGTTGAATTGAACGGCACTAAGGAAGGGAGTTTTGCACCTTGATTCTCAGATCTATCAGCATACTTATACTGGGGAGGAAGGATGATTCAGTGGTAAGGATGGAGGAAGGATGATTCAGAGTCTGCTCTGGTAAAGCCTTCTCTGTGTCCTCTTATTTTCATTTAGAAGATACATTTCTACTTCCCTGGGTAATTCTGACTATACATTTATTAAAAGATCAGGAAACACTCAGCTCCTCCAGTGCTGAGGCCATAAGTGCATCCTAGATGGATAGATCAGAGCTCCCATGATTGCAGCATCTTAGCAGCTCTCTAGGAACAACCGGGTTGCTGGGTTTCTGGTTGTAGCTGTGTTGGTCTAAGGACACAGGCAGGCAAGGTCTTTTGTGTAGATGTGATCTCTTTTATTAGACCAACTGAGTCGCTGGAAAAAAAGTACTTGGCACGCTTTTGGGCATGGCCACCCTTCTTCAGGCATAGGAAGTCTCAGAGAGCCCCCTTCTCAGGGACTTCCTATGCCTGAAGAAGGGTGATTATGCTTGAAAGCTTGCTAGGAACTTTTTCCCAACTACTCAGTTGGTTTAATAAAAGAGATCACATCTACCCAAAAGACCTTGCCTGCCTGGGAACAAAACAGTGCATTTAAGGACATTGGGATCAGTCTCCAGTTCTCTTTAAACAGTGGAAAATGGCTAGGCATGCAACAAATAGCACCAAGGATGTAAAATCCCACTGGAAGCAAACTCCTGCTTCCTTCACTGTTTCTGTCCAGTCTTCTGAGGTTGTCTTTTTGCTAGAGACAGAAAGTGTATTCTTCAGCCAAGCTTGTAACAATGCAGCGTCCTAGCAAGACACCTTGCTTTTACCTAAGTGAGGAGGGGAAAAGAAAGCCCAGGCTCCTCCATATTTAATCTAACTCTTGGGAAAGCTATTAACTGCCCTGCCCTCACTAGACTTAGACTTCAAGTTCACTCACTTGATAAAAGTGAGGACACAGAGCAGCGATGCTGAATTCTGTTGTTCCCTCAGTCTCTTTAATAGGGAATGATGATGGTGGGGACATTTTTGGGGAGGAACCAACCCAACGTATCGCTATATGCCTGGGTTCAGTTCACTGGGACGAGTCCAACCTCTGGCAATCGCATGGCAGCTCCAGGGGATGCAGCAGGAATGCATCCAGCCCATGTGCAGCCTGGACTTCACCCAAGAAGTAAAGCCCTTACCTGGAAAAAAAAAACAAAACGGGGGAAATATACAGTTTATTAACAGCATGCCTTATCTTATCCCCCCTTAGCTGCAGGCCTAGGCTTGGCAGGGAGGGAGGGGAGCATATGTATAATGCCAGCAGTGCAGAAAGAGCCTGGATTTAATATAGAGAAAGCATTTAAATAATTATAGCCCATAGGGGATCTCTGGTGGGATGGAGCTACTCGCCTGAAATTCCATAGGATTTAGTGCAAGATAAAAAGGAAGCGCTGGTTTAGAGCCACGGTGTAATTGAGCTGACAGCTTGCACCCAGCAGTGCCTAAGTCAGGGGCACACTTCCTAAAAGGCGTAACCCTTTAGCCACAGGACCATAACCCTTGTGCTCCTGTGTGCTGATATCTTAAATGAGTTTGTGCTCAGACAAGCCTGTAGGCTTTTCTCCTGTTGACAATTTCTCAAGAAAAAATGGTTCTTTTGCCCTGGGAAAGTTTTGTTGTTGGTTTTTTTGTTTTGTTTTTTTTAATTGTGCCTCAGTTTCCCTATCCATGAAATGGGTATTAGACTTGCAATGTGTAAAAGGCATTGAGATCAAAAGGTCCCCCAGGCTCAAGTGATCCATCATGTCGTAGAGTTCAATCGCACTGGTTTCTTTGCTGACCAAATCCAGGTAAAAGAGGGCTGGGACCCCATGTGCTGTACTGAAAAGCTGTGGGTGTCCAGACCACAGCCTGAGTTAGCAGCACAGGTATTTAGTGTCACTAATTGACTTAGAGCCAAGGTCAGGAGAGCGCATTTTGGGTCCATCCCATCCTCTGTCTGACGGCTTCCTTCCAGTTGTGCTGGGAGCATCAGTTTTGTGGAACCCCAGACATTATTCTTGTCCACAAGCTGAACGGAGGCTATTTTCCCTTCATAGATGTACCTAACATCAAGCATGGTGTCTCCTAGGCCCTCACTTCCAGTGCGACTCCTCTGCCATGACTGACGTTGTCCTGCTTGTGGATGGATCTTGGAGCATCGGGCGCAACAACTTCAGGCTCATCAGAGAGTTTCTGAGCACCTTGATTTCCCCTTTCAATGTTGCCCGGGACAAGATACAAATAGGTAAGAGTCTTGCTTGGCCCCTACCTCGACTGCAGCCTTGGCATAAAACCCACCATAGTCTCTCCCTCAGGCATGTTCCCTTGGAGGAGTTTGGCTTGCTCACCTATCCCCTCTCCTCCCCCTAAACTCTCTGCACCTAAATTATCTTTGGCTGATCTTTTGCTGCGGGTTCACAGGGCTGAACAAACACATTTATAAGCATCGGTGCAAGGCAAAACTTAAACGGCCACAATTATACATGGCAAAGAAAGCATCGCATCCCCTTTAAATCTTGGCGCTCTCATTCCTGTGCTTCAGGGCTTGCATTTCTGCTCTTTATCTCTATCCATTTTAGGTGCTTGCACTCTGGTGTTGACAGCTCTTAGGTCTGATGGAAAGGACTGACCTCTAGCGGCTGCAAGCAATAACATGTACAGCACAAAGGTGCAACTTTTGGAGAAGTTTTGCTCCCAGTTGCGCACCCCAGACTGAGATGCTGCATCACAAAGGCCAACATAAAGAAGTCTGAGCCATTGCAACTCTAAGGGGGGAAGGTGAAATCCAGGAAGTGGGGAAAATGCAGGAAGAGAGATGTAGGAGGGGATGTTGCAGGATAGTGCAAAATCTTTCCCCTCCTGGCAGGTGCAGGATTGGCCTTGAATTTTCAAACCAGAACTAAGCATTTAACCCCCTTCCCCGATCTTGAGAAAATGCTGTTGAGATCAAGGAGCATTGCAGAGAGGTCGGTATCAATGCCTGCATTTGACCATCAGGGAAATAAAGACAAATAGATGTATGTAGATAGACAAAAACCCGGTGTGCTCTGTTTACTAAGCTCATTGCCCTGCTGACAGGCTGGGGAGGAGTGCCTTATATGTGTATATATGATTTTTTCCCAGGCTTGTCGCAGTACAGCGGTGACCCGCGGACAGAGTGGAACCTGAACACGTTTGCTACCAAAGACGAGGTGTTGGAGGCAGTGAGGAGCCTGCGGTATAAAGGAGGCAACACGTTCACAGGTAACACCAGCCCAGCCTCCGTAATTACAGGCACCTCTGTAACTTCGTCTCCTAGGATCTAACCCTGTCCTTCCTGCCCTTCCCCAGGTCTCGCTTTGACTCACGTCCTCGAGCAGAATCTGAAGCCAGAAGCTGGCGCTAGGTTGGAGGCAGTTAAGCTGGTGATCCTCCTGACTGACGGAAAGTCCCAGGATGATGCCAACCAGCCTGCCCAGACCTTGAAAAACTTGGGCGTAGAAATATTTGCTATTGGTAAGGGAACACCGTGTGAGGTTGCAGCCATGTACAAGGCACAAGGTGGGATGAGCCTAATTCTGCTCTGACTGGCAGTAATGATAACCTCCCCTTTGACTTGACTAGGAGCAGGGTCAGCTCAACGCATCCGTGCTTTTGAAATTTCTACCCATATAGTTGATCTTATCCAGAGGACATCACTTACCCATGGCGAGGAAGGACAAGGAACAGAGGGGGGAATTCATTCTTCATTCAGCCACGCCTGAAAGAGTCTCCGAGGGATGGTTAATGATGGCAAGATTTCTTTAAAGACTAGTGTTAATTAAAGGTTTCTCACCTGTTACCTGGACGATCCCTACCAGCCTAAGAGGTAGATGCCTGTATTCACGTATCTGGGATTAAGTGAGTTTGCATTTCATTCAGCAGTGGAGCACTTTGCCTGGAATTACAGTCACTTGCTTAACAGCCAGTGCCTCTGTTAGCCTTATCTCCCCCTTGCTATCTGACACCAAAAGGGAAACACGAAATGACTGAGGGAGCAACTCTCATGCACAACAACATGAATCTTTGAAGCGTTAACGCAGAAGAGAGAAAGTTAAACAGGCAAATATTTAAAACATCACCTCCAAAACGATCAATGCTCATTTATGGCACGAGTACATCAAAGGGGAATCTTTGCATGGTGTTATAACAGCGATATATCTTGCAATGCCTTTTTCTTAGTGCACTGAATGGAGGCACTCAATATGAGGGATAAGAGAGAAACCAATCTGTGCATGTGAAGCCAGTCTGACCATGTGCTGCCCCTTTGCTCTAGCTCGTTCTTTCCCCTTGGACAGCTTTGCAGTACTGTGTCGTTTGGCTTCTGCCCTTCAGAGGCTGAGTTACAGCCTCCGAAGATGAATAGGATTTAAGCCATCTGCTCAGAACTGAGGCCAGACTTTCTGGTCTAAATAAACGTCATTGCCTTGGTGACATTGAGGAACGTGGCTTCAGCTATGAGTGCTGGGGGAATGGAAGGCAAGGTCTCTTTTCCCCTGGGAGCTTCCCCGAGTCAGCTAGCTGTTGAGTGTGCTACAGCACTAGTGCTGATTCAGTAACCTGGGTACATCAATGCAAACCTTAAAACACTGAAAGCCACCAAAAGGTGCCGCCGCTTTGTCCTGAGGACCAAACTCCAGGCTGATCTGACCGCAAAGGCTTTCAGCACTAAACTGGTCTTATTTTCCTAGCAAAATTCTTCACACCAGCTAGCAGTGGTACTGCACCCATCAGGTACTGCACCATCTTCCTCCTACCATTGCACCCCGATGAGCTAAATTCTTCACTTCTTGACAGGAGGCAAATAATGCAGGAAATGGCAGAGATCAGTTGAAAGGAGCAAAGGCCAAAAGGAAGCTTTTTGTGGAATTGAGTTGCTCTCCCAAGATATGTCCGTCCTTGTCTTTCCCCATCCCCTGGGCTTCCCAGGGGTGATTGAGTAGCAACCTGCGTTGTGCAGAGGGAGTGATGTGCATTGATACCAGTGATGGGGAGACAGTCCCAGCACCCAAATCGGACCCTGGATGGGTTTATGGAAGCAATGGCATATCCCAGGACTGATAGACTCAGTCATAGCCTCTTGTCTTATCATGTCTAATCCATCTGCCAGATGAGGATATATTTGTACTCGTTCACGGTGAAGCAATAGGAGTGAATGCTTGTCCAGAGCTCCACGAGGATGTGCAGCAAGGTGCAGCCAGGGATGCAACGTATCAATATTATGACACGAACACTTCTAATGAGCTGCATAGATGTGTGCTTCACTCTTTCTTCTTTGCCTTTGTTTCCTATCTGGCACTATTTGTATTTCCCTACAGGCCCCCTGGGTTTAATTTGCCACGAGAAGGACATGTAAGGCACAGCTGGCTGAATAATGATGAGAAGCTGCCTCCTGAGGCTAAGTAATAAGGTTGCTGAACAAGTAAGAAGAACGTTCTTTTAGGGATTTGTCTACACAGGGACATCTGGGAACGCTAATCTGAATTAACTAAAATTAGGAATCAAAGTGGATTACTTAAACTGCAGTCCCCCTCGGACAATCTTGTTAAGTATGAGACTTGCTTCAATTTGGTTTAGCTTAATTTACCTCAAAATGAATTAAAATAAATCAAATTAAGGCCATTTAAAATCCCATATACACGTGTCCACAGCGGGCACCTTCAGAAGAGTGCAGTGTGGGTTATTAATCCACTTTAAAAGTTCATTCGGATTTAATTTTGCTGAGTGTCACTGTGTAAACATGCCCTTCACCTCCCTGAATAACATGGCAAGGAGTTATGGAGGTGGATCCCAGGTCAACCGGGGCCCAGCCAGGCAGCTCAAGCCTGGCTCTTTCCCAACATGCAGGAAGGCTTAAGTGGTGAGGTTTTGGTTTGATCTTATTTCTAGGCCTGCCAGAGTTGGGAAATACGTGTACAATGTTTAAGATCATGCAACATCCCTTTTGGTGCTTGCTCCTTTATGCCTGTTACCCAAAGGACATCTCAGGTAAGAATTACTCCCAGAGAACTGCAGACCAGTGGCCACATCCCTTCTGGACGTCCCTTGGAGCAGCTGTAGTGATCTCTTTGGGCATGCACCACTTGACATCACCTGAGGATCTCTGTCTCTTTAATGTGCCAGGAGGCATTTGAAGGGCCATAAGAAGTGGAGCTGATTCCCCACTGTCCTGAACCTTGTGGGATCATTGACATCCGTGAGCAGTGAATGTAACGAAGGAGGAAGACGCAACCCGTGCTGCTGAAGAGGAATGCAATATTGTGATGGACAACTGATCCCTGGTGGGGAAAGCTGGTGCCCTGTAAATAACAGACAATTATTTCTGCATTCATGGATGTCCATCTAAGCGGTGTTTGTCCATTAGCGTAACAATATCATCCTCCTGCCTAGTGCCGCCAGGTGCAATGTGATGGAGGGGGAATACAGTGAGCCTTCACCAGGATCACTCTGGGCCACTGAAGACCCCATTGACTCTGCAGAGTTAAAAAACAATCCAGATATGCTTCTTCTGGTCTGGATTGTAGACAAGCCTTGGGGACACTGCAGAGCAGTTCCCTCCATGGGGGTGGCCAGGCCACATGGCCACCAGGTGAGCACAGTCATTGCAGTTGTGTCCAGTCCCTGCTGAGGGTGCAATGGTAGGAGGAAGACCTGTCTATCTCTAGCATTACCCAGGAGGTCTCCGCTGACTTGCTGTCTGCACTTTGTGTTTGCAGGGGTGAAAAATGCAGATGAGGCAGAGTTGAGGCAGGTGGCCTCGGAGCCCTTAGAGCTCACGGTGTACAACGTGCTGGATTTCCCTCTGCTCAGCTCGCTGGTCAGCAGGCTCACCCAGGTCCTGTGCAGCAGGATCAAAGAGAGGAGCAAGAGTGAAAACACAGGTGAGGTGAAACCTCCTTTGCCCTTCAGCCCCACTCGCTGTCTGTGTTCCCTGCCTTGGCTCAACTCTTCTTCCTTGGCCACGAGTTGGTTCCCCTCATTGAAACTCTCTGCATTTGGAAAGCAAGCACTCAGGAGGTAGTACTGCAAGGAAATAATAGTCACAATAAACCATCGGGGAGGGGAAAAAGAAGATTTCTCCCTTCAATTGTATACTTCTCTTTGTGAAGGAAGGATAAATGCATCCTCCTTCCTGGACCTCCTCTGGGATGTACTACTGCCTCCTGAGTGCATTGCTGAGATGTCAGAAGAAACAAGGGATCTGTTGATGAACACAATGGGCTTTTAAAGGGTTCTTGGAGAGAGGGACTGCAGGAGGATTAAGGTTGAACCTATCTCCAGCTATAATTTAAACTGCAGGGGATATGCAAGTAAAAAACACTTGTGGGGGTTGTAGTTGGTGCCATGAACTAGGGATCGAAGATGAAATGGTAAGCCGGATGCCCAGGAATATACACACAGCCCTCCTTCTTCCCTGCACAAAGTTATAATATTTTCTCCCTGCTCATTTTTTCTCATCGTTTTTCATATGCAGAATGGGAGCATCTAACTTTCGAACACAGCTTTATTCAAGTGGATTTAAAATTCCAGCAAAATAAATTGACTCATCTCAATTAATCCATACTTGTTTGCTATAATTAAGGCAAACGCAAGTTAGCCCCGAGAAAATGGGCTGCTTTTTAAAATTACGTTTGCTTGTTCAATTTGTCTAACTCTTTGGAACTGGCAAAGGCCTGGGCCATCTGTTGAATCAATGGCAATGATTCACGCTCAGATTTAAAATATGTTGCCAGCATCCTACAAGGTACACAGTTTGTTCTCAGCGGAATATTTATATTCTTCCCCACGCCCAACTTTGCAGAGTTGATCTCATGGGTGGCTGGCTGGATCATTTTCCATACTTTTGAGGGAAGAAGTCTGTAACTTGGTTAGAACATATCACTAATTTATGAGCTAGAAAATATACATGGGCAGAAAAGGCATTATGGGAAGGTAACCACATTCTGGCTTCTTAGGCAGTCCTGTGAAATTTGCCCCTGCTCATACTGGACCCCATTTGAACCCCCTGACCTTCATATATCAGAAGTGACCTCCCGAAGCATGCATCCTACCTGGAGTCCTCCCCTAAGGCAACCAAAGAAATACACGATTGTCTATTATCCTTCCAGGGGTGGAAGCCCCAAGGAGGTAAATCAGCTTGTGACTTGATATACGAGCTGGCTGGATCCACCACACAATGGCTTGACATTTCAGTACACTCTTGGGGAGATCTCTCGAAGACGCGAAAGGTAGTTATGCATCCAATTATTGCTGGAAATCAATAGGGGGGAAGATACTTAATGTAGGCTGGCTGAAAGTCACTCTCTTCATCAATCTTGCTTCACTCTTCAGCAATCTCTTCATCTCACTGGATGCAACAAGTTAATGAGACAAAGCAATAAGAAATCAGTGAATCGATGCTTTGTCTCATTATTCATTAATACAACAAGAAATCGATGAATGTATTCATTAATAAAACCTCCTGAATAGAAACCGCAGAACCAACTAGCTACAAGCCTTGCTTTGCCCTTGGTCACATTCATACTAGTTTTGCCACTTCCCAGCTCCTCTGTTTTGCTCTGCTCACTCACTTGCAAACTCTCTTTTTAATTAGAAGTTTATTTTGACAGGTCCCTTCCCTTCGTCTGTTCAGCATCCCGCAGATAATGAACTTGTGATAATTTGTTACAAGCCTGAAATGTTTGGTTCCTCGCTTACGGTAGCACAGAGAGATGCTGCCTCTGTTTCTTTTGAATAACACAATTGGCTTCAATGGAGCTGGATAGACTTTTGCCCAGGAAGCATATTCCTTCCCCAGTTTTGCCCTTAGATATTAATTTGGGCTGACAGCCCTGGCTTGTGATTCCCTGAATAACTGCCAGGCTCTTTTGGCATGTTCCTTCTGTTAATAGGATTTTCTGCGACTGCTCATTCTCTAGGCGCTGGGAGGAGAGAGGTTCCCAGCCTCTTGGCCCGTAACCTCACTCCTGGCTCAGTGTTTGCTTAGAGCTATGTCTTCTGGTGTACTGCCACGCAATGTTTTTAAGGTCAGGGTTATATTTGATGTTATTCTTCTTTTATTTCCATTTCAGCCGCAAGTGGGCTGATATGACTAATCTAAGTAACCCAGCCACCTCTCAGCAGCGGCTGATGTCACCAACGTCCCCTAAAGCAAGAGCCAGTGACCCATGGTAGAGGGAGACCGCAAATTAGAAAAGCAGACCAAAAAGCTGTATGATTTGGTTTCTGTTGGCTTCAGTGGGGACAGAATTGGCTGAAGCCTCTCTTTTAAACAATATTTTGAAGTCTTTTTATTGCTTTTTTTCCCTTGGAGTGTGGTAGAATTGCATCTCCAGTGACGATGGCTAGTAGTAGGGGGTAGCCTCAGCTGAGCAGCAATTGGTGTTGTGGGTGCTGGTGTGTCTGATTTGCTTTCTCAGCTCTAGAGCAAATGAGTCCTTACTCTTTATGTCTTCAGGTTGGTCTAGATGGGGTGGCCACCTCTTCGCGGCTTGTCAACTTGACTTTGCACGCAGAATATCTGGTCTCCATGTTTCCTCTTTATGAGAATATGGTGAGAGAGGGGTTGAGAGGCATCGCCTTGACATGTAGGTTGTGGGTGGAAAGCTAGGTGGATGAGCTAATGTATGTTAGCCAGGTCCTTTTTTCCCCAGAAATGCCAGTATCTTCCTTGGATTTGATCACTGGATCTTCATTGATTCCAAGCAAATCTCTCTCCAACTTTTAGCCCTTTTGCATCTCCATTTCTTCCTCTCATGCCCCCATTCCCATTGCATCCTACATCCCTGTCTGTAGCCCTTATTTTGACTTCCATTTTGCCTTCCCCTGAGTTGAGTATCCTTTCTCTTCTGATACACCAAACATCTTCACTCTCCTCTTTGCAAACAATGTCTTCCTGGGTTGATCTCTTCAGGCACAGTGCTTCAGCAAAAATTGGTCAGGAAAACTTCATTAGGACAGTTTTCTATTTAATTTTGACATCTTGGGGAAAATCCTCCCTGAAGTCGAAGGGGGTGTCATCTATCTAAGAGAGGAATAAAGACTTCAGGAATTTCGTTTCAGTAAATTTAAATAGAGAAGATGCTTGACTGTAAAAAAGAATGAGTTTCCTTTTGGGGAGTAAATTAGCTATTTAGTTTTCTGGCAAGAAGAAGCAACATTACCTAAATGCATTGGATTTAACTTAAGCTTTCTGTTGGCTTTTTTTTTTTTTTTAATTATGTCTATCTTAATTAAATCTATGAATTAATCTTTTGTTATCTTTATCCCATGCTCTGAATGCTTGTCTGTTTCTGGGCTACAGCGTGCTAACTCATAAGGGAATGACATCCCCTCTCAAGGGAATTTTGTGGCATCAAGTGCCTGGAAATGAGGAGCTCATATCCCCTCCAAGTCTTCTTTTTAAGATTTCTTTAGGGTTGTGCACCTGTTGCTACTCTGATTTCAAAAGGTTCAGACTTTGTGGTGTTCCCTTGCTATGTGATAATTGAAACAAGCCACAGAAAAGGCAGTGCAAAGGTAATTAGCTGGGGAGTGTGTGTTATGAGACATGCTCAATGCCAGATCGGTAGAAGACCGGAGATGCTGCAGTCCACACCCATAACGGCACCTTGACTGGAGCTCAGGTAACAGCAGCTCATGCTTTTAGCTTTAGGAGTTTGCAGGATTTTAGGAGTTTGCAGGATTGCAGCTTTAGGTGTTTGCAGGATTGATTCCCCCTGGGTCAGCCAAGAGGCAACCACCACTCCAACATAGAGCACCAACATGCAAGACCAGAGACACAGTAGGGAGCACTAGGAGGTATTAAAGCCCTGTGGTCAGCCTCATAGACAATGGTCTCAGACCACCAATTATCTAACCCTGACACCTGCCCAAGGATCCCAAGTCTTGATACCTTTTTGCACACTTTGAACTCCTGCTCCTGCACAAGATAGCACTAAAGAATTTTTATCCTGGCTAACGATTTGGCGTTTAACGGGTCTCAGGGCAAGGACACATCATGTCTGGTCTCAGCATGTCTCTTTACTCCAGATGTTAAAAACTTTCAATTTCCAAAGAATCAGGCCTCTATTTGCTATTCTATTATACCTATATCCTCTCCTAAAATATTTTCTTTCTGTTTTGCTGTAGTGTCACTTTGATTGGTGTCTCTGACTCTTCGGGGAGAGAGTTAACTGCTTCTTGTAAAACTTTCTGTCCTGTTTTTTCCCTTCAGTACCGTTGCCTCCCCCTGTTTCCTTGAGAGCATCCGAGGTGAACCACAACAGTATAAAACTAAGCTGGCAGCCGGCAGATGGAGCTACTCAATACCTGGTGCTCTGTTCAGCAGGACTCAAAGGAGCAGAGGACGATACAAAAGAGGTATAGTTCAATAGAGTGCCAACGAGTCCTTTTGCTCTCCCTGGGGGTATGCACAGAAACAGAGGGCCCAGATTGCAGCCCTAGGTTGCTCTGGAAAGGCTTGGATGAGAAATAAAATGAAAGATGAAGGACTCTGGGAGAGTCTGGATGTAGGTACAAGCCTCCCTGCTGGCCTGCATAGCTACAGAAAGCTGAAGGTAAACCCCGCTGCTCAACGGCCTCTGGCATCCAGGAAAGATTTGGGCTACAGCAACATCCTGTGCATTGAGCCTATAGTTAGTGATAATATCTGCCTCTTCTACTACTTATCAGAATCAGTTGAAAGCACTTTATAAAGGGGGCCAAACATCACTATCCCTATTTTACTGGTGGAGAAACTGAGGCACAGGGGGACAAGTGATTTGCCGGAGGCTATTTGCAGCATCAGGAAGCGAGCCCATGCTCCAGCCACTAGACAATACAAAAATAACATCATTTTTATTTTGCTCTTGGAAAATAAATTGCAAACTTGCCAATATTTTGGTCTGTCTGTACGAACACTGCCCGCCTCTCTGGCACTGCATAAACACGAACTAATCCCATGCAGTTGAATAAAGAGGGGGAGAAAAGGGCTCTTAGGTTATCTAACCCAGTGTAAATTTTTAATGAATTATTCCAAGCCTCTGTGCAACAAAGCTCTGAGCATCTGACATATAATCGAAGAGCCTGGCTGCTTCCTTGCCTGCTGTTGAGAAGATGCTTGGGCTAGTGACCAAATGTAAGGTGGGGAGCCTGCCACTTGCACTCTCTGTCCAGCTTTGGGCAGGTGGTGCAATCTCCCTGCTTCACCTTCCCCATCTGATAGTACAGGGTTAATAATCCTTGCAGCCCATGTTAGGAAGCTGGTGTAGCTGATGCTCATCCTGCCCTTTGTTAAGGCTTCCCATTGTAGCAGCGTCTACCGTATTGTCTTGAAAAGCTCCCAGCGCGTTTCTAAGATGCCCTGCAAGAAGCAGCATTGTGAGACATGCCTGGGAACCCGGTGCACTTCAACTCTGTAGACGGTAGATGGTGGCAATCTGGCTGTAATGAGCTGGGTTTCTCTCCAATGGAGTTATAACATGGGAAGGCCAAGGAAAAGCTGTCCTGCTGGCTCCCCGCACTGGACGTCTGTCAATGGGACCTCACATCCTTTGCTCCAGACCCAAGTTCATTACCATGCTCCACAGCCCTGCCAGCTTCCCATCCCTTGTACTGTAAAGCATTTTCTGTAACGAATGCTGACGGCTGAAGCTGCTCCTGCTTTGTTCTCTGCAGCTGCCTATTGTGTCTCCTTCCCAGTCTTTGTTCTGCAATGTATGCCCTATTTTGGGAGCTGGCGGGCTGCGAGATCTGTCTGCTCTTGGAGAGTCTTAGGAACCGCTCAGCTAAACAACTTGATTTGAGAGAACCCATCTCATCCCCGTAATCACTGCATTACAAGATATTTCTGTGCTGAATAAAAGAGAGACTGATCGCTGGATGATGACTTCTTGTTTTTTACATGCAGACAGAATCAGATTTTGGGGAGCGT